CCTGTCCATCTAAAGTGCCTCCCTGCTACTAGTTCTCCATCTTTATCTTTCTCCTGAGGTAGAAACGATATATGACACCATAATTGAATAACTTTATTCAAGTAATCATTAGGTGGTTCTTGACCTATATAAGGTTGAAATCTTGCAAGAGTGGAAAACAATAATTTTAATACTGGTAAATGTCTAATCTCAGCCATATTTAAGAGTGGATTATTCTGTAGCAATAAAATTTGTCCTTGTAAATTTAAAATTAATTGCTCAGAATTTCTTGCACAAGTTTTCCATTTACTCCATTTATTATCTAACAGCAAATCACAAAGAAATAAATCATTTTGGTATGTATCCAACCTAAGTTATAGATCCCTATCATGTGTATGACACCTTTGTAACTGTTGAAAATATTGTCAGTTTTTAAAATTAAATATAAGTTTTTCAAGCAATAAAGTATCAACACGTTTTTGCATCCCCCTTTCTAATTGCTTAGCAATCCCCCATCAGCAACATCACTCTTCTTGTTCATTATTGAAAGCTTGGATAGATAAATCTCGTTTCGCTTTAACATTTTGTAGATTATTGTTTTTACGGCGTATTTGTCTTATAACCCTTTTTATTTGATTAGATAAAATCTCTCTATTTGTTCCTGGATTATCCAAATATCCATCTATAGTATTGGCTAACTCGACTATTGTTGACATTTCTTCTGATATATTACTGTCTTGTGAATTTTCATCAGATTCATTTTCAGATATTATAACATTAGAATTCCATATTTGTGAATTTTGTAAAGCTTCTTGAGTATTTATAAGTTCTAATTTATCCCGATATCTTAATAATGCTAATGCAAAATTTTGACAATATAAATCAGTTATACGTACTTTTTGCAGATCTATTTTATTATTTCTATTTATAAGAATATATTATAATTTACTTATTTCATGCTTAAGATGCTCATTTTCATCTACTAATTTTGATGTATAATTCAATGCCTTGGGAGTATTACCTGCTGATTTAGATATTTCTCGAATTCTGGTTTTTAATTTTTTTTCACATTTATCAAATTCTGTTATTAACTTATTCTTAATAGATATTTCTTCATCTTTTTGTTTATTTTCTTTTTCAAGTTGTCGAACAATTCTTTTTAAATTTAGGATTTCTTTCATCATTTCATCATTTTCTTTATTAAAAAGTTCGATAGTATTTTCTAGTTCCTCTTCAAGAAATCAGATTCTTTCTTCACGTATAGCAATAGCCCTTTCTAAAGTATATACTCGTTGTTTTATGCTCCTATTTGATTGGGCTAAACGCAATATTTCCTTATGGAGCTCCTGATTAGTTTGTCTTAATTCTTTCATGTTTTTTTTTTACTAACTATAATAGATTAGAAACGAAGTTTCATTGTTTTTCAATAAGTAATGGAACAACCTGTAATTTATATTGATCTGCAGAAGGCCCGTAAATTGGATAGGGAGATTGCTAAATCTAAAGAAATAAAAAACCGAAATTTAGCATTACGGAAGTTATATTATCATTCTTTCAGTTATCAAAGGACTAATAAAAAACTTTATGAAGTTGCATATAATACCGGCTTTGATTTCACTTTTGATAAAGTTTAAGAATGACTTGAAAGACAAGCTTTATATCAAATTCATAAACCACATCCAAAATTTATTCAATATGCCTCTTTTAATGATATACAAGATTTAAATGATATATACCAGTCCGATACTACACCTATGCCCTATAATAAAATAGGTAAACAAATTTATAAATATAGGGGTGTAATTAAAGATGTAGTTACTAGATTTCGACGTAGTTTTGTATTAACTGATAAATCTTCTGTGCAAATGGCTAAAGCAATCCAGAAAATTTACAATAATCCTAATAATCCTTTTAACTATCCAAAAACTTTTATTAGTGAAAGGGGTACTGAATATATGGGTGAGTGTAAGAATTTATTATTTAGTCATAATATAAAAATTCAGTATGCCAACTCTAAACATGGTGTAACTTCTGCTGAACGAGATTATCAAGAATTTGAAAAACATGCTTTTTCCGTCAAGATGTTGTAGATTTTCATTTGCCTTTATCTGAAAGATCTAGAGATTGGTTCAAAGGTCTTCATATAAATGATGATATTTTTAATAATTCTGTTACTTTATTAATAGGTATGTCTCCTAATGAGGCAGTAAAACATACATTAAAAGGTAAAAAAATAATAGCCAAATCTGCTATTAAGCATAGAAGGCCTATTGGTTATAGCAAACCTCTTTTATCAAGCTATGTAGAAGTTCGTTATCTTTTAGAACCTGGTGAATTAGAAGGCTGAAAAAAATGAGTAACTGATTGTAATTGGTCTTCTGAAACTTTTACAATCGATTCTTATTTGATAAAAGAAAATCAACCAGTTCTCTATAAGCTATATAATGGACCTAAACGTTCTTTTGTAAGGGAAGAACTTCAAATCGTAAAGGATGTGCAATTACCCCCTAAATATATTCTTAAGCATTAGAGTTACCTCCTCTTTATTCTATTTGATATAAAATTTGTTCGAAGGCATTGCTTAAGTAGTCATCTATTTTAGCTCTATTGTAGACTATAATTTGCTTATTTCTAAGCCAGTCAATTCGTAAGTTCTTTTTCATATCCTTCTCTTTATTATTGGGTTTATTATCTACAAGAAATTTTGTAAGAGAGCATAATGAAAATTTAAATTGTCCTCGTTTGTCAAACTCCTTTTCAAGCAATTCCCGAAAGGGTTTTCTTTGACTCTCCAATATTTTTCTTATATCACTTCCATTATTTGGATGATATCTAGAAACTTTTGCATTATGTACAGTAACAGCTCGTCTTTTTAATGCTGGACCCATATTTTGTTCTCGAAATATTATATCCCTCTCATTATCTCCAGTAATCATACTA